ATGTACGCCATAGGCGACAAATTCGATGTTACCGAGTCGTCTGTTCATGTTTGTGTGACACGGGTCGTTCACTTCTTACACGCTATTAGCGATGAGATAATTTGCTGGCCTAGTAGCGCGGAAGTGACCCGCATAAAGAACGGCTTCCTCGCCAAAAGTAAAGGCAAGGGCCCAAGAAACACCATCGGCTGTATCGATGGATCACACATCGGGATACTCACTCCAAGCGAATCTACGCAGTCTTACTTCAACCGGAAAAAGTGGCCTTCGATAATCCTGCAAGGAATCTGCGACGACAGGAACAAGTTGCTGAACGTGTTATTGGGTTTCCAGGTTCGGTTCACGACGCCCGTGTCCTGAGGGAGAGCCCCTTCTTTGCACGCGCAATTCAGGAATGTGAAGACAATTATATACTGGGTGACAGTGCATATCCACTGATGCCATGGCTCATGACCCCATTCAAGGACAATGGAAGTTCTTTTCCTACGTGGAAAAAGAGCTTCAATAAACGACACAGTCAACAACGAGTGCTTATTGAGAACACCTTCGGCCTGCTTAAACAGCGTTTTAGGAGGCTCTACCTTGTTGATGCAAAAAGTGTGCAACAGTGCTGCTATATAGTTATGGCTGCGTGTGTGCTACACAACATGTGCAACGATGAAAGGGACTTCCTTGAGGAACTTGCAACGCTTCCCCAAGAAGAAGATGTGGGCAATGATGAAAGTGAAGGAGATTTTGATTGCAGTCTGCCAGGCTACAGTCAGTCTCTGCGAGAGTTCATTGCAAAGGAACAGTGCTAGAAGTTCATCTTTGCTTCGCGATTTATTCAGTGTGCAAATGTTTTGCGAAGTGGGGTGCCGCGTCTAGAAGCAATGTTTTTTTTTAACAAATTAGATGGAGTAGACACTGCTAGTGTTATAAAAGTTTATTGCCCATATTATAACCCGTCCTTATTTGAGAGTACGTCGATCAACCGATCGAATCGCTGCATGCGCTCATCATGCCGCTTTGCCTTTGCCTCTTCCCATTTTTTTCTTTCCTCCAGTTGTTTCACTGCTGCCTCCTCTTGCTTAGCTCTCGAAGCTTGCATTTTTTCTAATGCCTCCAAGAGCGGCGTGACTTGGGACCTACTCTGGCGCTTCCTTTTTGGCGTTGTGCTGCTCCGAACTTTGGATGCTGTGTTGCACTCGACTGGGACTGCTGCATCTTGAGGTGCTTCAGTGATGCTGGTGCTGTTGAAAGTAATTGTACAGGTGCCATGTCATTTCCAGGCTACAGCACAAATTAAGTAATTTTTACTTACTCTGGACTTGCACTAGGCAGGATTGTTTTTCCAGGCTCCAAGAGCAGCCTTGGATTTACACTATGTTCTTTTTCCAAGACTTCTGCCAGCTCTCTGTAATAGACACTATGAGAATCACTGAAGATATGAAGACACAATCGTAACTTACTCTTCATATTCACAGTTCACACGGTGGTGACCTGAAGAATTGTTGTCTTTTTTTGACTTTTTATATGCTCTGTCCAGCGACTTCCATTTGTTTTCCACTTGTGTGGCAGTCACGTTGCACAAGAACTCCGTATTGATGGCCTCAGCCAACTTCTTCCACAGAAGCCTTCTTGTGCTAAACAAAAAAGCAAAGCACAGTTAGTAGGAAAGAAGGAAGCGACGTAACGTGACCCAAGTCTGCAGTAGCACATGAACCTTTCCTTAGTACTTCATATGTGTAGCTTTCAGGGATAATTGCTAGGGATGTTCGATTATTCGAAAATTTTGGATAATGAATCAACAGCACTGTATTCGGTTCCTAAGTCGAATCGAATTGCACATATTCTAAGTAACAAATATTCTTTTAATAATCGGCACTGGCGGGAGAACCCCAAAACAACGAAACAGCTACAAGTCATTCTTTCAATCCCTAATGTGACCTGTACGCAGCCCAAGCTTTTGCAAGACTACCTACACTATATTGATTGTCGAATGAATGCGCTTCTGAAAGCTCCATTCTTGCTCAATTTTTACTGCACTTTAGCTGTATCGCATTTATCAGCTCCTGTCTTCGTCTTGTAATAACCAAAGGTGGGAACTACGAGTGCTTGCAGCTTCACGACTAGCAACAGATACAAGTTTTGCGTTTGCGTAAATTGTTCTTGCAGATGTAAATTTCAACGCCCATTGTTATCCGCTTTTAGTGCGCAGGCCATGTTGTGATGACGGGTTGATCTGCTCCGTTACATATTTAGTTGTATCTGCAATGTTTGGTTGTAAATTGTTTTGTTTTTGTGTCCCAATTTTATTTAAAGTGAGGTGACAAAGTCTCACGTTGATAACGCTAGTCAATGCCGTAGTTGAACCTACAATTACAAAATGTTACGAATATTCTAGTTCCTGCTGCATACGAGATTACCTTAGTTTTCGTAATTGTGGTATTTTGAGTAGATTCAAACTGACTGTAATGGCCTTTGTCGAAAGTTTGTGACTATTTGTTTCAAATAAAATGTTCTGTTCTAAGGCTGTTTTGAAAATGGTCTACTTACTATTCAAACAGTATTCAATTACTATTTGTATTCTATTTGGTGCCATTACTATTTGACTCTTACTTGATTAGGTTCCGAAATTCACTATTCACACACTTCTGATAACTGCGAACGTTCTTTTTGTGCGGGAAGCATTATGTTGGAGAAGTTGAACATTGTGTAAATCACTCTTTTGGATCATAAAGCTTCACTAAGGAGACAGCCATATTCTAACCTGTCTTTGCATTGTAAAACATGCAGCTGCGCAACCTTGTTTGCTGACACGACGGCGCAGTCTAGGTTCAAAGATAGGGTAGCACGTGTCAAGAAGCATATCTCTTTTAACAATGAGCTGCACCATCTTGAAAAGTGGCAGTGCGAGAGAAATGCGGACAGACAGTGAAGACACAAGGACTGCAGGGCGAGACTTGCTAGAGATGTGCCTCAGAATAACAACATGCAATTCCCTCTAGTGCAAATTCTCAAGGCAGCACTACACTTGCAACATGGCTTGAGCTTGGAGGTGCTGCACCTTTTCGGCAAGACAGCGGTTGTGCAATGCCCAACACAAAAGCACCGTCGCTGTTTTTGAAGATCACTTGACTTAATGAAACATTACGAATGCCTTCGTTGTGTATATATGTGCGTGACTATACATACTGTTTGTGTGTATATGTAAACGTATATGTCACAGTCAGGCGCATAGCCAAAATTTTTTTTCAGTGGGGGGGGCAGTAAAATGTAAATTGCTGGCAGTAAAATGTAGGCAACAATAACCATCGCCATTGTGAACTTCATGCGCCCTTATCTTGTTGGTGCTTGCCTAGAGTGAAACGGAATAATAAAAAGCTGCAAATAATTTGGACATAGGATGACATACCGAAGTGCCCTGGTTTTTCCCACCAAGTCCTTCATTTCCGAGTATTTGGCGATGAAGAACCTTGTTTTTCGGGCGCTCCAAAGCTCTTCCACATCTTCAGCCGACGCGGCTGCTGCTGGAAATGCGGCTAAAGCCCCATCGCTGTCAACGTCGCCGTCGCAGGCAGGAGAAGGCGTCGGCGGTTGTGCCGGAGGGGGGTCATTTTCACGATTCCCTGCCATGAACCGCAACGTAACGCGCTTGCCGTCTGCAAGGGCGAAAACCAAGATTAAAAATACCGACATAGCATAAGCAATGCTACGAGGCTGTTTGCTGACCGACTACGACTCCTGGCCGCTAACCACGTTTTTTGGCAATGCATGCAGCCTGACTTACCTGATGCCTCATAGACGTAACCGTTGGCGTCCGTCATAAATGACCCGTCGGGATTGTGAAGTGCCTTAACTTCCTTTTGAACGCCCTGAACAACTATTTGCAACGTCGTCTGCTCTGGCCTTGGGGGGACGCCCGCCATGCTGCACTACTCTGCACCTGCTTTGGAGTGCGTGCACGCCGGTACAGAACTCGTCAGGAACTAGGCTTACACCTAGACAAAACGAGGGAGCCAGTGCAGAGGGTGCGACAGAGGGCGCGCGCTGCTCCGGCAAAACGAGGACGAAGGTGCTGCACCCTTTGAACTGGTTCAGCCGGTGCAGCCAAAACGAAGAGACCATATATGGCTTGTCGCTGGGTAGATGGTGTTTATGACAGTACGGCTGAAGAAAAATAATCGCGTAAGGTGTGTTGAATAAATCGTTTTTATGTATAAAAAACATACCAAATTTGGGCGTATAATTATTAATTTGTGAAAACAATTCTGTTGCATTGATTATAACTGTGTTTTTTTTTTTTGCGCTTGCGTCCTCTGACGTTTGGTGGGAGCACTAGTTCGTTACGTAGTCGTGACGCACTTCCTGAGGCCAGGTTTTGCGGAGCATGACCTACTACACTCCTGACCTGCCCAGAGAGCACCTCTTCCAGCGCCCACGTTCTAGTTCATACCTTCTGCCGCTAGGGCCGTAACTTAGGAGCACTGTGGCGCTAGTCAGCACCTGTTCGCTGACGTCAGCTTGAGTGTTCGTGGTCATATTTCGGCCAACAGAGCACTCATATTGCGTAATTATTATGCACTAATGAAAAATAATTTTGAAACAAATATTTCAAAAGTCATTCACAAATTCTTTGCAATTAAATGGACGCAACATCACATATGCTGTCCTACACTATGTAAGTCTACGGATTCTCGCATTTGTCCACCAGTGTGCAATAAATTTTTCGTCACACTGAACAGCTTACTTGACCAGTCATCTAAGTGAAAAAATAGTCACATATATGCCGGCTGTTCATCACGGAATGCAGCCGTTCTTACTCTAGCGCCGTCCAAACAGCCGTAAAGTAGCAGACGAACAGGTTATAGGTAGCGCCACCTACGGCGAGCGATTGAACGAGAGCGGGGACACGCGCTCCCATAGGAACCCCGCTATCTGAACAGGTCAGGAGTGTAGTAGGTCATGTTGCGGAGTGTCCGCTCTTGTCTTCTTCTTTCTCTATGGCTTCAAGGCGGCGCGCGCAGGATCAGTTTGACTGTGCGGGTAGTTGGGCAGCGTCTGGTAGCGTTGTGGGCGTTGTTGCTTGTGTTGCGCTGCAACGGGCTAAACGGTATCGTCGACATGAGTGGAATGTCGGGGCTCGACCTCGTCAAGTGCCACGATGCCTCCATGCTGCTGGGCGCGTTCAACATGCACTGCATGCAGGAGGTTGGCGACGAAGACGGCGAGATCCGTGACTTGTTTTTCGCACCTGGAACAAAGCGTCTGGAGCTCCTTCGCTGGGTGCTTATCGCCATCGACCCGTCGGGAAAACACGCTCGTGAACTGAACACTGGCGACGACTGCACAGAGGAGAGCTTGACAAAAGTGCTGTCGTATTTGAATCCCCGTCGTGTGAAGGAATTTGCCGCTTTCGTCAGAGGCACTGCTCCCGTCCGCGAACAGAAGGTTATCTGGGAGCTGCTCCTGGGGACGGCAGATTTCGTTCAGAATCCCCCCGAAGACGAGTCTTCGGGGTTCTCTACAGCCTCATGGTCAACGACCATGACGTTCAAGCCGACGGTCGCCTCCACGCCCATGCCCCAGGTGGGTGGTTGTTACCGTTGGCCCACTTTACCTTCCAGCGAGCCGTCCTTCCGCGTCTTCCCTCTCATCTGTCCAACCCCTTTCCTCGTGTGTGTACCGTTTGAAGTGTCATCTTCGAGACGCTGTTATTGTGCCCACCAAACCCCCTTTCTTGTTTCTCTACACGTTGGTGGGCTAGTTGGTTTGAATCCATTAAGAGTGAGTAAGCGCAAAACAGACAAGGACGTAGAAGAGACAGACACATACAGAGCGCTACTTTCAACTGATCTTTTATTTTCGCACGAACCGATAAATATATACCGAGCGAGCGGAAATAACATAAACATAAAGAACATATCGCGGAATCACATCGTAGAACCAAGCACGTGTAAATTGCACTACATAGTAAAAGTACAAGTCACTGTGTCGAATCAAGGTAATGAAGTTCTTTTTGAGAAAGCGATACTGATGGTTGGCTAACGCACATGTCAGATAATTTCGCGATTTCATATGCCTCCATAATCTCCCTTGTCATTTTGCCAGGAGCCTTAGATAGAATTTTAGTTCTATCTAAGGCTCCTTTTAGTTCTATCTAAGGTGTATCGCATAATCTCAGAAGGATCGCGGGAAAGGCAGGAGTGGATGTGATCTTTTCAGCTCCCGAACGTCTACATAGGTTGTGTCGACGCGTTAATTCACAGTGTAACAGTGCAAACACCTGCCTTATTAATCATCGAACAATTTTTGTGAACTGCATTCGCAATGTTGTTTATGCTATTCTGCTTTCTTGTGGAAGAACCTATATTGGTCAAACTGGCCGATGTATCAATCAGAGATTGAAAGAACATCATTATAATGTCACGAAAGCAATCTCGGGCCATTTGGGCATCCATTGCCGAGATTGTGGATGTATACCCCTCTTCGAAAAAACTAAATTCTATCTAAGGCTCCTGGCAAAATGACAAGGGAGATTATGGAGGCATATGAAATCGCGAAATTATCTGACATGTGCGTTAGCCAACCATCAGTATCGCTTTCTCAAAAAGAACTTCATTACCTTGATTCGACACAGTGACTTGTACTTTTACTATGTAGTGCAATTTACACGTGCTTGGTTCTACGATGTGATTCCGCGATATGTTCTTTATGTTTATGTTATTTCCGCTCGCTCGGTATATATTTATCGGTTCGTGCGAAAATAAAAGATCAGTTGAAAGTAGCGCTCTGTATGTGTCTGTCTCTTCTACGTCCTTGTCTGTTTTGCGCTTACTCACTCTTAATGTTTCTCTACAAAATCGCCGATATTTCGTTGGGGCAGACAGCGGATGAAGGGGGGGGGGGGGGGGAGGGGCTCACGCCTTCACCTCTTGAGAGTTTCAAATTCTACATGCGTACAGCCGCCCATGCTTTTGTCTTGAGCGTGTGAGCGTCGACAACCGAGCCAATAAGTGCCAGTTCCCGGAACAGCCTGGAAAACGACAGCTGCCCTGGACTGTTCATCTAATATATGCGCTTATTATTGTTAATATCGCAGCCAGAAAGCACCTGGCTACGCCTCTCGAGACTACAACATGTAAACTAATAACTGCGGGGCTTCACAAGCAGTTATCATCGCTGAACGCGAGAATACTACTTCCTGCCGAGTTACTGAACAGTCGGTCAGGAATATCTAATATAGGAATGACATTTCTTCTGTATTGACATGCTCTGTATATTTATCAGAACAGAAATTTTTGTGGTTCAGCCAGCATAAAAGAGCATAAAAAATTGATTTAATGATTATGATGCTGCCCCTTACTCGCTGTACTGAGTGATGGAAAAAAATACCACGTTGGCATAGAAAGAACCTGTCGGTATGCGCTTTGTACATGTTTCGCCAAGCCATTCTGCAGAGGCTGCATTAGTGCAGTTGTCATTGGTGGGTATGTGTCGATCATACACTACAAGTAGCCTAGGGATTGGTGTACTCCCGGTAAATGGCTACTATAGCCGAGGCAGCAGGGTGACCATTGGTATGGAGCAAAACCTGCGGTCTGTGAACCGGATGGTCGACACTAGCGATTACCGACAGCAAAGTCAGAGGGTATGCTAGGAGCATGATGTACAGTGAAAAATGAGTGCCTTTCTTCACAAAGACATGAAATTGTGAAGTGGTGAGAAATTTGTGCCCACAGGGTGTCACTGGAGCCGCTGTTTTGATCAGCAGGTTTGTCTTCAAAGCTACAACCTTGAAGATGTCAAGACAGCTTGTCCAAACAGAAGCTCCTTCGACACCCCATGCTAGAAAATTTATCATTGCTACCATTGTGCCCTGGACTTGCGACACATTCGAAATGAATGTTGCGTGCATTCAGCAGAAGAAAAAGAAAAAAAATGCTGTTGGCGTAGTAGTGTGAACACTGGGCAAGTTGGTAACGATTCATAGTTGGTCGCGGGAAACAGCCTGAAAAAAACGAATACAGAGTAAAGGGAGTACACAACATGACCGCTGTGTCAATGTAGTGTTTCTGAAGGATAATTCAATCATTGTTTGCGCACACCGCAAGCAGGTAGATCTGCCTCTAGTACGTTGCGTGTGGCCATCTCCCCACGACATCACACTGCAATGGAATGCAACTAAGGAACCACCTTTTGATACCGGAACCAAAAGTGTTTCTTTTGAGGTAGTGGTGTAGAAGATATCGACATTGTATTCGCAGGCACCACAGTGATTTTTTTAGAGTTTAAAACAGTGTCATTTAGAATGCATCTCAGCGCTCCTTTAACTTTATTCTTTGCAGGTTGAGCAAGCCGGAGCTTCCTCTTCTAACGTGAAGCACGAAGGAACGGCTGCCAGATGTCTCTGGCAAACCGATGACCTGTCCGAAGCCGGAGAAAAGCGAGAGGCTGAGACAGAATATTTGGACAATTTGGTATGCTACTCAGACATTCATGCCTCATTCACACCTGCCACTAGTGCCAGTCACGTGAACATTTGAGACTGGCAACCAAAGAGCAACAACAAAGGGTCCTCATATTTGCACCTGCGGGCAACGTGCGCCCTCTGTCACCCAGAATTCATGTCTACTCGCCATAGGTTGGCAAAACCTGTGGAGCTCACTCAGACTCGCTCATGAAATACATTTCGCACTTTGGACTCATTCGGCCTCACAATCATGAAATTTTTTTCAGCCAAAATCACAAGCAGTCACTCTCCAAAATATTATTCACCCGAAATCACTCAAGCTGACGTCTCAATCTAGTGAGTCAAAGCATGAGTTTGTTTGCATAGAATCACCTTTTACGACCAATGGGTCAATGGTCTTTAAAGAGCCCTTGAAACACTTTCTCAAGTAAACATTTAATTGATTCACTAGAAGACCTTATTGCATCATGAATTCGATGCCGCAAAAATTTAAGAATCCGAGTAGTACGTGCGAAGTTGCAAACATTTTTCACACGCTGCAATCTCATCCGACGTCCAGATTCTCTCATCCGACGTCCAGATGAAAGTACTGGAAGCTAAGCAGGGAAGGATGGCAGGGGCAGAAAAAAATACATCAGGCGCACCTCGTGACCTTGAGCACTTTTTTTCTTCGAGTACGCAACTTTTCCGTGTGATCGCGCGTGCATGCGTACACAAGCCACAGCCTCCTGTGGTGATATCTCTAGTGACTGAGCACGCCATGTTCAAATCAGCCAATGCCTGATAGATAGCCTTCTACAAGTGACTTTTGAGTGTTTTCCATTATTTGTTAAAAAAAAAAAGAAAGCAACCTTTAGCTATATTGAATGATTTATTGTGAATTTCAGGCCGGGAGCAGTGTGCGCTTTCTAAGGAGCCTCTACTACCGATCGGCAGCATTTTCTGACCATGCTCAAAAATTGTTGCAGGGCCCCTTTAACACCGATATCTTGCGTATTTGGTGCTCTTCTTGGCGCCGTTTGATATAGTACATTCGAATAAGTCAGGAGTGCTTGCATACTATTTAGATCACTTTCTTTAAAGGAATGACAACATAAGAAATGTTCATCGAGAATGTACCCGAAAGAGTAGGCAATGGAGGGGAAACAGGACGTCTAGGCACTCTGTTGCATAAATCACACCTCTGATCAATAAATAGTGGATTGGTGTATGAATGAGATCTCTTTGGTATAGGTGTGAATAGACATGAGTATAAACTTCAATCCATGTAAGGCTGATAGCAATGCTGAAGAGGAGTCGATGGGAGGATAAGCTGGCAAAAGAAAGTGCAACCTGCTCAAGAAATATTACTGCGCATTGGACTCATTTGGACTTAGACTCACAAAACTCTTCCTGGGACAAACTCGCTTGGACTGGCACTCACAAAAACGGTCTGCAACCGGACTCACTCGGACTCTCCAAAATATTCCTGTCCCGTACTCACTCAGACTCGTGGCTTGATCTGAGTCCGAGTTAGTCATCTCATGAGTGAGTTTGCCGACTTATGCTGCTCGCATTACCACAGCCCCACAAAATGAACTGACATCCTCTTCCTGCACATCTGATGGGTTCATTTTGTTGCCTAAGACGTGCGACAGCCATTTGCGGCCATTTGCAGCTAGTTGCTTAGCAGTTAGCGTGGCCACGTGACTGGCGCTTGTTGCTGGCGTGAAGGAGCCTATAGAATTGACCTTCAAATTGTTGAACGTTTCTGGAGCCATAGAATCTTGGTTTAGTGAGGAGTTGTAGACCTTGAGCTAAAGGTGTTACAAAACGTCTTGACCCTTTGTAGCGCCGCCTTTGTTTTTGAATCGGCGATATAAAAAACAGCTGTGGTATATTGATATAAACTACGAAGATGTAGTATGAAACAAATATCGTAAAAAGTCAAACCTGTAGTTCAGTGGAAAAATGTGGGACATATATTTCCCACTGACTCATGGGCGTGTTTTGAAAAAGTGGGAAAACACTGTCCCCCTGCCTCATAAAGGCACCATGACCTGATTGCTTCAATGAAACGGATGAAACGGCTGAAGTTGTGAAGAGGAAAAGTTGTGCGGTCCTTATTTTCAAAAGAGAACACCATTTGCAGTTGTGCCTCTTGTGAGCCTCCAGAGCGCTCTGTTCCGTTCATGTAAAGCTTACTTCACTGTAAGGCCATACTATGCTTTTGTGCTTATTTTACTGTCCTCATTTTTGCTATCGAAACAGTAGTACAGCTGTTGTGCCTGAATATGTGCCTACTTTTCGAACAGTATATGCTATAAAGGAAAATATTTCCATGAACTAATGTCTGCTGTTTCGCTAAGGGATGAGCGAGGCGATTCCGCAGGGAATCGTTCGTACGCATTTATCGGTTAAGTTATTGTGCGCATTTGCAAAAATATGTGATGACTTGAAGCTGAAATGACCTCTCAGAGAAATCTAGAAAAAGAGGCAATCATCCGGCATTATGATTGGCCAGTTCTATCTCAAAAGGTTTCCTAAAATTCAGAAGCTGTCATGAAAAAAATGACAGAACTTCAGCACCATTAAAACACTACTTCCACCATTCAAAGACGTGGTAAAAAAATTTTTCTTTGAGACTATGAAGACTCAAGTAATATATGAATGACTGAGTACTGCTCTAAATGCAATGGTTAATGTAAAATAAACTTTTTTTTTCTAGGCGGAAAAGTGGGACGTATGTGTCTCAGTGTTGCGCAACAGTTGAAGGAGGTATGGTCAGGCAGATCAACGAGAAAACTGATGTTATTATTTACTTACTAGAAAATAACACACACTTTGAGGAGCAGGATCGTGCATTGGCGAGCCCATTGGAGTGCTCCAAGCCTTTTAAAATAGCGTCGGAAACTGTGCTTCCTAATCGAATCTTCAAGTACTTCTTCATTGTTCCGGTCTATAGGCATTTTCTTTTTATAACTGAGAGCAGATAGGCTGAAAATATTGATTTCTTTCCTATCATTTTTGTACTTTCTGATCACAAGATTTCTCAACAAAATGCATATTTAACATAATTGTTACTGTACATTGTGAGCCCCTTCTGAATAATGTCTGAATAATGGTTAAACAATATATAAATTGAAAGTCTCCCTCTGGGCATGCGACAAGTGGGGACAATATTTTTTTTTTTCTACATTAAATATAGAAGCCTGTTTTTGAAGGTTCGGATTAATACCAATGTAATGTTGAATAAGTGTGCCAAGTATCACGCTCATACTATTATTAGTTTTCTAAGTTCATGCGGGTCAAAGTCCTTGAAAACTCTTAATTTTGAAAAGTTCATTTTCAAGGCCTGAAAGTGCTGGAATATTCACAAATCCTTGAATTTGCTTCTTTTTTGAATAAACATTGTTGCACATTTCACAGTGCAATATTTGTGAGGCCGTAATTGTAGAAGGTGGCATATGTAATGCGCGCATCCCAAAAGAATTAAGAGCATTAGTAGCTTCTGCTCGGAACCAACACTGTGCCTTTCTGGAAGCTCAGAAAAAGGCAGGAGGATAACATACAGAAAAACAACTGTTGTATTCAAGAGGAGGTGGAAATGCTTGCAAAACAGGAAAAGAAACTAGAAGTTGCTGTTAAGGTATTAGCAGCTACAGCAGACTCTTATGCAGAAGGAACAGAGACAATTAGCAACCTGGCAAGCATAATCACGTCAGACATTCTTAGGAAGACTGCCATGATCAAGCAGCTGGAGGCAGCAGATATGGATTTAAAGTTTGGAAGAAGCAACAACGTGTTGCGTAATAACTGTTTCTTAGATTTTTCTATCTCGATAAAACTTTGAATCTTGTGTCATGCTGAAAGTGATTACCTATGCAACTTTGAAAAACTATTATTGAGAGTTGTCTAGAAAGGAAATGTCATTGGAGCGACGTTTTTGACATCTGCTTCAGTGTTGATTCCCTTTTTTGATGAATTCAAGTATTTCGAGCCTTTATTTTCTTCTGAAGATGTCTTAATTGGTTTTCAACCATACAGTGGTGTCCTGGAAAATTTGAACTCTTGGCCTTGAAAGTGCTTGAATCTTTCTGATGCAAACGAGCATGAACCCTGCGTTTTCGAGAAAATTTTGTGCACCTTTGGGTAGTTTGGTACTTCACTAGAAGCAAGTAAGAAAAGCTACATGATTAAAATTTTGCAGACAGAAGGCCACTAGCTCTTTCGTTAAGCATTCAAAATTTCACAACAAACTATGGTACTGTTCCCGAGTATGAAGTGGAAACCGAGATAACCTTTTCACCTTACCATATTCCATGAAAGGGGCCCTGAAACACTTTTTTGAGTAACTATGGAATTAATTCACTAGAAAAGCGTATTACCTCAGAAATTGAACGCCGCAAAAATTCAAGAATCTTTCCAGTATGAGCGGAGTTACAAAAATTCGTCACACGCTGCAATCGCCTCGTCCCGACGAAAGCGTTGGAAGCTGAGCAGGGAAGGACGGGAGGCGCAAACAAAAAACGTCACTTGTGCTTCGTGACCTGGAGAAATTTTGTTTTTCTTCAAATAAGGTTTTTTTATTTTTTTAGTGCGATCGCGGGCAGCGGCGTGGACAAGTGACGGCCTCTCGCGGCGACCTGTGTGAGAACCAAGAGCGCCATGTTCAAATCAGTCAATGGCTGATAGATGGGCTTACTGGGCTTATTTTCCGTGATTTGTCGAGAGAAGAGAAAGCTATATTTAGCTGACTTTGATAATCGATTGGAATTCCGGGCCGCCTGCTGTGCTTTAATATTTGGCTCACGTGTTGACGGGAGCTTCTTCTACCAAACAGCAGCGTTTTCTGACCATGCTCAAAAAGTGTTGCAGGGCTCCTTTGAAAGAGTACTGACACCCTTTTTTTGGAGGCGAATTTATTCTGACATACAAATCTACTGTATACAAAGATGGCTCTGAGCCAGCTTGACACTCTGCAAATGCTGATAAGATATTTTATTCTCATACTAGAGCTAATTTTCTCGCCCCGAACCTGATGAGATATATTGTTTTCATATTATAGTTAATTTTCTCCCGACGAACTTACCGACATCAGCACTAACTTGATACCGGGCTGTAGTATTAATCCTGGTGATTTCATGCAGCAGTCTGGCTAGTTGTGATGATGTCAAGCACCAAAACACAAAAAAATGGTAGCTTGCGCATCGACATCTCGGTCGCCTGCTTGCGCTGTGCGCTCGTGCCGTCACTGTCGTCCAGCGTAGTCATGAGTTGAGCTAGGGGAGTCTTGAACAGCGTAGGTGCAAGCAAATACAAGATATACCCTTATCAGAAGGCCGAGTAATCGTTTGATGTTGAATAAGTCACCGTGGCTCCAATACATTGCCCTGATAGTCTTGCGTTTCTCAAACTGGGGACAGTAGATGTAAGTTCTGCCGATTTTGATCTGGTGCTGAGACAAGCGTGGGGCCACTTCGTGCACCGCGTCCAAGGCGGAGAATGGATGCCATTTACTCAGTGCGCTGCAGTTCACTCCAGGCGCATACATGCGCATCCTGCAGTTGCTGACGGACTTTGGATTGTTGACGATGAACGTGCGCTTTAGGTGTAATGCCATCCCAACGTTGTGCCCGCCTGCTGCAGCAGTTGCCACACGTACGGCGCACAGCAGATACAGACGAAGATACATCCCGAAAACTTGCGTGTGCACATACTATCGCCTGGCGGTGCTGTTCATACCATGTCGTGACGTCGGGGTACAGTAGGAACCGAAACTAGTGTTTAAAAGAATGCTGTAAATAATTTTTCAGGGCACACTCATGCTTACTGATACATTTCTCTACTGGAGGCGGAAATGTTGTAGGCCCGTATGCTCAGATTTGGGTGCACGTTAAAGAACCCCAGGTGGCCAAAATTTTCGGAGCCCTCCGCTACGGCGTCTCTCATAATCATATCATGGTTTTTGGGACGTTAAACCCTACATATCAATCAATCAATACGTTTCTCTACAATCTTGGGGGCTTGGTCTACCATTTGATGCAAAAAAAAAAATGAGTGAAAAATTTCATGTGAGTACACCTTAAGATGTGCATTCACAAAGCACTTTTATATCGACATGCACACCTCTTACCTCATTACGGTCCACTGGTCGGCACAGGCATTGCCAAATGGTCTGGCAACTATCAATTTTGTCACATATATGGAAGGTTCTCTTCACAACCATGTTAGAATGTTTGCAGTTTTGCAAAACTGCCGCTGCAACGTTAAGTCTGGACTTGGAGCTTATGGCGTTTCGGTAAGCGATGGAGCGAGTTTTGCATTCCCAGCTATGGCAGCCGTATTGTCGCAGATACTTGAGGCATGTCCTTGTCATTAAATTTCGATGCGTGCTGGATGAATACCTTGTTGTCAGAATTTTCTTTATAGTCTGTGTCATGTCTTATAAACCTGTCGTGGCTTTGCCATTTCTAAAGTAATTGCTGTTGCAAAGCTGATCCCGTGAACTTCATATCCGACACAATGCAAATACAGATGCTCCTTTGAAATTTTTGCATGTCTTTTACACAAGGACGTTATGACCAATCACGCCCTCTTGGAAGCTACTTTGGAGCAAAGAAAAAAATATATTTATTGCTCGTCCAACTAAAAAGTAGGTATTTTTCTACTGTCGATTCTAGTTTTTCTGGTTTTAGTTTTACAAAATATATAGGGGGATAGCTGCCATAGTAGGGTAGTTGGTAGAGCGTCGGACGTTTTATTGGAAAGTCGCTACTTCGGTCCCTGCCCACGGCAAGTTATCTTTTTTGTCCACTCTTCTTTCTTAACCCCTGTGGCTGGTATCTTTTTTATACTTGGCTGTGCAACACGTCATCTTCCAGGCCATCATAGCTGGTCTGCTGAGTTATCTATGAGCCCTTGATTAATCATGTTATACAATTCCCATGCCATGCATGGGGATGGTAAATGTAGTCATTAAGTCAAAATTGTGTCACATGATAACTGTACTGAGCAACTGTCAAATTAAGTCGCATGATAACTGTACTGAGCAACTCTAATGTCACCTTAAAACATACTGGAGTTCTGTATAATATGGAAGACTGCACTCTGGTGGAGCCATGGAGTGATATAAGAAGCAATAGGCGCTACAAATGTGCGTTCTGCATTTCAGGATTGACTTACTTTATGCCTTCAGCTGTGTCTCAAGGAGAGCTTTCACGTGTCAACAACGATCAGCAACTGGGGTTCTTGCGGCCGGCCCTATTCATGTGGGTCAGAAGCCCTATTCGTTAAATGGGTGAATTTGCTTTGCCAGACATGCTTTCCAGTGGTCTGGTATGGAAAATTCACGCATACACTATGGTCCATCATGCGACAGTGAAAATATTCTTGCGTGACTATATTCCCCTCCTCAGAAGAAAGAGAGGCACCTAAGAAACGATTTCGGTGTGTTGTGCACGTGCTATCTGCCGCCTTCTCTTACACTTAGTGTAAAAACACTTTGCTCTCCTGTTAACAATATGTCTGTATTCTAAAGCATAGGTAGTTGTTGGACTATTCAACTAAAAAGGCAGCAACACCCACCTGTGGCGTAGCAAGATCAGTCGAGAGATATAAGACAAAAGACATTGTGCAGAGTGGACTATTCAACTAAAAAGGCAGTAACACCCACCTGTGACGTAGCAAGATCAGTTGAGAGATATAAGACAAAATACATCGTGCAGAGTATTTCCTGCACAAATGCGCACATTAGAAAACTGTTTCAGTTCAGTAGGTGTGTCTCATGAGAGGCAACATTTTTTTTTTGTGTGTGTGAAGCCCTGTCATTGGTCCCTGTCCTAGGTTATTTCTCTCGTTAGAGGACAGGTTCGAAATAGTAGTTCGCGTATGCTTAGGCTTTATGGGTTAGTCGCTGAAGTACGGATGACAGTCTAGCTAAAGAAAACGAAGGCTTGCAAGAGTACTCGTCTTGTTTGTTCACTGGAACTCAGCTTGCTTTGCCAGTTAAATATTGTATGCCCAGTTCTGCCTCTAAAGAGGGAGGTGCCGCTGCTCACTTCGGTTGCCGATATCTGCCACAGTGGAGCACTGATTGTGGTTCCCAGCCACTGGCTTGAACATTGTACGTTTGATTCCTGCTGGGGTGGTTACATTTAGATGGAGGTGAAATGCTATAGGGTTGTACACTGTGCAGTGCCAGTGCACATTATGAAACACCCGGTGGTTGAAATTTCCAGAGCCCTTTGCCATGGAGTCTCTCAATGATAAGGTGGTTTTGGGACATAAAACCTCATATTTTATCTATTTGGTTGCTAATGATGTAGACACACTGAGCCTTCTCTGTTAATTTTTTATGTGCAGATTAAGGTGCTGGAAAAGGGGGTCCAGTTCAGCAAGGAAAGGCTTGCTGCCTTGGAAGCATCCCAGGAGCCTGAAGAGCCACCACTGAACATGGCGCTTTGTGAATACTATGGTCAAACTGTCAAACAACTTATGAAGGCTCGCAAGGCCATGCTGGAGGTATGTTGTGTCAGATATATATTTGTTGAAGTCCATATTCAATATATGAATAACTCTCCAAAGCTACTTGAACACTATCAAGAGAAAAGACTATAACAGATGCATTTTGCCGGCACTTTCCTACAGAGCAAAAAGCTGCTGGCTTACACAAGCAGTTCTACTTGAAGGGGCACTGACACAAAAACTTTGGCCGTGCGTTTTTCTGCTGCAATGTGTTGCTGGGGACCTGTTAGCGATAACATAGCACATTGTTTTATGGACTGCGTGTCATATAATTAATTACAGGCTCGTTAATGCAGGCCAGTGTCAGTTTCAGTTCCAAATACAACAAGCCACAGGGTGCAACTATCATCACCTAACTTGGACAGCCCTCTGGGCCCGCATTAAGAAGTCCTTTCGAATAGGAAAGAAGTCCTTTCGCACAGTCCACATCAAGAAGTGCTTTCAAATGGGGAACGGTACTGCAGTGTCGCCAAACACGAAACTTTCAAAGTGTGCGCCGAGGCTACGCACTGGCAACCAACTGCCGAAAGGTGCAGACTGTAAGAACAAACGCGGCAAAAAAAAAATAGCAGTCATACCTCAATATATCTAACACGAATATATCGAATTATTGCCTATATCGAACAATTCCTATATCACTCGGGAAATCGCATGCATTATTGATTTTTTATTTTGAAGAAAGTTTGACATATAATGGATATATCGAAATCAGCCACCCCAAACCGCCCGCGCTCCATTGACAGGCGGCGAGCTTTCCCGCAACTCTCGAAAGTAGCGGTAGAGCGGCGGGCGTTTACGAATGTTGCACACATCGATGGCGCCGAGAGCGCCACTTTTAAGGAAGCGGCGTACGCGCACCGCAGCCTTGCAGCTTGCAGTCGTTGCAGTCTCCATGGTGTCAACGGCACTCTGCGCACTTGTTGGGAGGATTCGCTCGCAGGATTTCGAGCTGGACAGTTGTGCCCTTGCCATCTCCGACGCCAGCGTAGCTCCCACCGACTGGTTCGCCCTCCGCGGTCTCCTGACGCCGTGCAGCTCTCGCATTGTGGCGCCCCGCCCTTGGACTGCTTCGACCGGATCCCCACTTTCCTATCTCCTTCTTTTTTTCCGTGGCTTGCCTGTCTATTTCTTCATCTATTTCCTTCTATTCTTTTTATCCCTCCTTCCCCCCACCCCTATAAGGCACTGCACCGTGTCGCCTGATCGCAGACAGAAATTAGGTGCCTTTTTCCTCTTCCTTACAATCACTACCACCACTACTTGTCACAAGCTCCTCCCCCGTGCGCGACAGGCCTAACTCGGAACGGCGGAGCTCACGGATGTGGAGATTGTCGCCGAAGCTACTGCTGAGCAGCCAAACGAAGACTCTGCCGAGGTGGATCTCGCAAGTGCTGATGGTGTTCCGCTCCCGACATCAGCTGAGGTCGTAGCTGCCTTGGCCCTTGTGCGCTGCCACTGCGGCGCGATTGAAGGCACCGGCCTATCACTTATGGATCGCCTGGACTATATTGAGGACGTAGTCGTCAAACACGCCATGGCCAACAAAAAGCAGTCTACTCTTTTTCAATATTTTAAACCAACACAATAAATACTATGTTTGAATATTCAAGTGAGTATTTACTGCACCACACTTGAACGGTTCATTGGTTGTTTTCAGCAAGCTGTTGACGCATCTTTTTTCGTGATTTTTTATATCGAATTCTGGATATATCGAACTATTTCACGATCGCCGCGCCGTTCGATATATCGAGGTTCGACTGTATAACTTTATTGATTGCAGCGTGGTAGCGTGAGGGATGTAGGGGCCTTCTTCCTTTGAGGGTGTCAATGGCCCGATGGAGTCGAGTGCTCATGCAAACTTCAAAATTATTTTAAAATACCTTTCAAGCTATATTCACCATTGATATTTTGCAGATGATATACAAATGTTCACGAGAATCGACCCTGCAGGCTATCTCAGCCGCGAAATTTTGTGTCAGTACCCCTTTTAGTAGAGGGTGATGCAGTGTGCCATGGAACAGAAAACCATAGAGGTAATTGTAAGGGCAATATGCTATGCTGGGATAGTTGGTGCACCGTTCCTTGAAAGAAGGTCTCTTCTTCGTTTTGGCTTTAAAGATTGCCACAGCTTTCATGTAACCCTTAAGGACCTTAAGGTCCCTAGGGTTATATGTGTAAGATTATATGTGCAAGGTTATGGGGCTAGAAGAGAGCAGAGTGAGTCATGGAACGCTTGTAAGAATATATTAGCAGAAATCAGAAAAAAAGAAATGGACATGGAAAGGGTATTAGCTTAAAGACAGGATAACTGTTGGTCATGAAAAGTAACTTCTAAGAGATGACACAACGCGTGATGGGAGACTGAAAGTTGGTCACGCATATCAGATTGAGAAGTTCGCAGGTACAACGAGCTCACACCGAGCACAGGACTGAGTTGATTAACGGAACATGTAACAGGTGCTTCCCCTGCACTGGGCGAGATCAGGCTGCTGCCGCCGCTGATGATGATGATGATGACATTTATGGATATTTATTTATTTGATTTGCATACATGGATACACAAGAGCACAGAGGAAGAAGGGAGAAAGCAAGCTGGCAACTGCCACCTGGAGGGGCACAACGCCTGCTGACTTTTTAGGGAGTAGAGAAGAAACAGATTTAAAGTCGACCCCTCTTAAACGGAACTCGAAGGGTATCGATAAAACTTTTCCATTTATCAGAAGTTTTATTCAAGCAAAGTACATTTATTTAGTGAACCAAGATCGTTATTCAAATTGCAAAAACCTCAACTTACTCATGAGGATGAGTACAAGAAAAAAAAGGAGTGAGGAGTGCTTTGTCTGGCTTGCTTGAGTTCTTTCACAAGGTATGCACCCATGCCTGACAAATTACATAGAAATTCTGGACAAGCCTCATGCTCAAAATAGTGCTGCAAAAGTTCAATAGCCTCTTTAACTGATCGGTCTGGTGGCATCACTGCACTGGCAGTATTGCCATCACATTCATCGCTCGAAGGTTGATCCTCATCTTTCACGACAGGTACGAACAATTTCGTCGATTGATTCATTGTCCTGCAGCATGAAAGGGGCAGAGGGCACGACCTGACTGAATACTGCCACGTTCCATATCCCAAGTTTTTGTTATCGTTCCGAAACACCACACGATTCTCAGCGCAAACCGCGCCTACAGTTTTCGAGAAGGTTCCGGACTGTAGTAGATCATTTCGATAAGATCACGCCCACTGTGCGAACGGTACAGATTGTTCTGGAACCTACGCCACCGCCAGCGATAACGCTAGAACATTTGACTGCAAGGGTATAGATGCGGACGCGCTTCGCCGCTTGTCAGTTGTTGATCGAAGGCCGACGCTCCGTTCGCCGCTATCAGTCCGAGACTGCTATCTGTACGAGACTGCTGCTGTAATTGGACTTTCCGTTTACTGGGCACAGGTTCGCCCAAATAAACAGTTAAATCCCAACCCGAAGTCTCCTGTCTTCGGCCACGTCACGACCCCGTGACATTTGGTGGAGGTGCTGCTTCGTTCATGTACCGGACGCCCCCGTCAAGCCGTGAACCCAGCCCACGTCGCGGAGAAGACACCGACGCCAACCAAGAGCAGCGAACAAGCCGCCGACAGCAAGGGCTACCACCGGAGTACGGGCTTCTACAAGACAAGACGCAGAAGACCAAGGCCATGACCGCGACTGCAGCGACAATGACAACCGCAGCGTCCCAGCCCACGATGGTCATGCATCAACCCAGGGAACCACCAATTTTCCATGGGTCATCGTTCGAAGACCCGGAGTCCTGGCTAGAAATATACGACCGTGTGGCCGCCCTCAACCACTGGGATCATGACGAAAAGCTGCGTCGTGTGTTCTTCTATTTGGAAGACACCGCAAGGACCTGGCTCGAAAATCGAGAGTCCACGCTCCGAACGTGGGATGTTTTCTGCGGCGCATTCCTGCAAACGTTCGCGAGCGTCGCTCGCAAAGCGAGGGCCGCTGCTCTACTAGAGACCCGGGTTCAGCTACCAAATGAAAAGGTTGGAATTTTCACAGAGGAGATGACCCGCCTATTTCGTCACGCTGACCCGGACATGCCTGAGGAGAAGAAAGTTCGTTTCCTCATGCGAGGGGTCCAACAAGAGCTCTTCGCGGGACTAATGAGGAATCCCCCGAACACCGTCCAAGAATTTGTATCCGAGGCGACCACCATCGAAAAAAACCTTGACATGCGCACCAGACAGTATAATCGTCGCCTGACTCCAGAATGCGCTGCTGCTCAAACCAGTGACCCCGAAAACCTGCGTGAAACAATCCGAGCGATCGTGCGGGAAGAGCTGCGCAAACTGTTGCCTTCGGCGCACCCTCAAGTGGATTCGATCACCGACATTGTGCGAGAAGAAGTTCGGCAATCACTTCGAATTCCCCAAACACCGCTGCCCGAGCCAGAAACTATGAGCTACGCCGCTGCATTGCGCCACATTGCTCCTCCCCGTACACGCCAAAACGCCGCCCCGTCGCACTTCCGTCGCCAAACACCACCGCCGCCGCCACCCCCACCGACGACCTACCGTTCACTAGCGAGCCAGCGCAGTGCGCCGAGGAAAACCGACGTTTGGCGCACCCATGACCACCGCCCACTGTGCTACCACTGCGGCGAGGCCGGGCACACTTAGCGCCGTTGCCAGTACCGACAGATGGGACTGCGTGGCTTCGCCGTCGATGCACCACGTCCGCAGCCAGGGGAACGGCCACGTGACATCGCCGACTACCTGACAGGAACTGAATGGACACCCCGAAGTCCTTCCCGTTCGCCGTCGCCCAGCCGCCGCATGTCACCGCACCCCCGGCAGTACTCCGGCCCAACGCGGGGCCGGTCTCCTAGCCCGTATCCGGGAAACTAAGGGCAGCAACCGGTGGAGGTGCGGTTGCTGTGCGACGAACTACCGAAGATCCTCCTCCTCCGACGACGCCGCGACGGAGCTTTCCGAA